TGTGTGTGTGTCTGTGTGTGTGTGTCTGTGTGTGAGATCTAGCTCATGGTGAGGACGGTTCCACCATGGAGGAACTGTGGAGGAACTGTGGAGGAACTGTGGAGGAACTGTCGTGGATTCTGATTGGTCGTTCACAGTAACCAATTGCTCTGAATGTGCATCACGCCCCCCTGTGGTCAACATGGAGAGTCGCTGACGACTTCTTTGCTGGACCTTCGCCTGTGACAGCGCAGGTCCCTGTGGGCCGGTCACCAGGTTTCCCATCATGCCTTTCAACCAATACCTGTCATCAGCAGGAAGGACAGCGCTGTGATGTCTGACCTGTAGCAGTCTGAGCCGTAGGGGCACTCGGGTCGGTCCACCACCTCCTCCTCGTTCTCCTCCTCCTCCTCGTAGTCGCTGTCACCGGGATGACTGCACTCCTGGAAATGTACCGGGTTCTTCCTGGAGAAACAACAGGTGGATGAGAGGGTTTCAGTCTCTCACACCGAGCGTCTGTGCTGCTGCGCTCTGCGTCTCAAAGACAAAGTTGATCCTGAAACTAAAAAAGGTCGATTCCAGCAGCAGAGACTCGACAGACAGAAAGTGACTCGTCCAGCTTAGATTTCATAATATGAAGCTAATGTTAGATTTTGTCTTGTTTCCTGTTGATCATCCTCCAACTTCAGCTGCGGAGGTGAACTCACCTGTAGCAGTCCTTCCCGTACGGACACGGCATTCTGAGCCGAGCAGAGACGGACGAGGATCCACGGTTCGACCCGACGGACTCAGCTCGTTTAGTCCCCTGTCGTCCGTCTTTCGACTTCCTGTCCTCCTTCTTGGATTCAGTGATGTCAAGTGCCTGCGTGGTGGCGGCAGCGGGGACCGCCGTGGATGTCTCTCCTCCTCTTCCCTCCTCTCCCACCTCCATGGCAAAGCTGTCAGACTCGCTGCTCGTCTCAGTCCTGCTGGAGCCACGCCGATGATGGACTGTGGCAACATCCTGCATCAACACACAAACCAAAAGACGAGTCTGAACACCTGAACATTTTCATTCATCATGTAACTGCTGATAATGAAATCTAATCAATTCATCCTTGAGTTCAACTAACAACTGGTCCGAATCTGAAGACATTCTCTAAAGCTTGAGATGTTTAAGAGGTTTAGTCAGGTCACATTAACCTTTGACCTCTAAAACCTAAACAGTTCATCTTTGAATCCAAGTGACCATTTAGTCCCTGAGATATCTCGTTGATAGAAACCGGTCAGAGGAACTACCTGAAGCAATGACGCCTCTGGCCACAAGGTGTCACTGGCTCAGAGAAGTAAAAACGTAAATCACAGAGGATTTTTAATTTACGATAAATCAAAGCAGCAAATCTTCACATCTGAGAAGCTGCAACCAGAAAATATTTTATTCTCATTATACTTTAAATAAGATTTCCCAACTATTTGAAAAAGTTTCCAGATCAATGAGTAAACATGCTGTGTTTATTTCTAAATGCTAAGCTAACGGCTAACATCCCTGAGACGTTTATTTAGGACATGAAAATGTGAAATGAGTTGAACTTAACTTATTTGAACTCAATTGAGTCGGTAACATCTTCATCACTCACCTTCCTCCTCCTCTTCCTAGGATGCTCCTCCCCCTCCTCACTAAGCCCCACCTCCTCAGATTTGGCTGCTGCAGGTGCTTTACTTATCTTCACGGACGACTGAACTAAAAAAGAAATGTAACATGAATGTTTTGATATTATGGTATTTTTGAGACATCGTGTTCACGACAACCTGAAAACATACTGCCCCCGGCCACTAGGTGTCACCGGTGCAGAGGCACAGTGTTGTTTCCTGGTGGTTGTTGCTGCTCCACCAGTTTTTCATGTGAACATAAAACTGCTCAGTAAGAAAAGCAGCTTGAGCAACGGACTTCATATTTATCTGCACCAGTGACACCTAGTGGCTGCAGGCATTATTTCCTAACTTTGAGGGAATTTCTTTAAATGTGGTTCAAATGTTCACACTGCTCTGACTTCCTGTCACGTGACAGACACGGGGGGGGGGTACCTTTGGGACTGGAGGACGAACCGGGAGGAGCAGCGACAGCTGCCATCATCCACGCAGGTAGAACTCTCTTCTTCATCACAGAGTCAGCACGGTGTTCTTCATCCTCTTCCTCTGGAAGCGTGAGGTCTTCCTGTGTGACACAAGAGAACGCAGCTCTCTGATTGGCCGTCTGCAGGTTTGCTCCAGCCTGTGATTGGTTGGTCAGTTCAACATGTGCATCATGTAAATGTACACTGAAGCCAGTTCAGACACATCCACTGATTATCGTTTATAATTATTAATTAATTGAGTTTTGACATCTAAGGAAACGATGAATCAAAACAGTTTGAAGTTAAAGCCAGAATATAACCGGAGACTTTGAAGATCACATTTAGAGACGAGTGATGAGAGGAAGAGGGGCGTGACTTCATGATGGAAAAATATCAGGTTGAATGAGAAAAGACAAAGAGATAAAAAAAAGTCTGAATGTCGACTGACATGAACTCCTTTTGCTCATCAGGACAATCTACTGTCCCTGTCTGTCCTGTCTTTAACTGAATCATGAGTGTGAAGGTGGAGAACGTTTCCTCCTTCGCTCCCTGAGTCTGTTCTCTCTCTCTGCTGAGTGGGTTCATCTCCTGAGAGAACAAGTGACCGAGAGTCTCCATCAGCTCCAGTGGAAGAGTGAAGCTGAACTGAGATCAGTTCAACACTTCATCACAGACACGGAGTTCATCACGTGTGGCTGCAGGGGGCGCTGTTGCTTATGTTACGTAGTTACGTTGCTTTAAATATCAAAAGCTCTGTGAACTCAAATGAGACGTCTGATCTTCGGAGCGTTTACGTGTTTTGCATCACCAGCTTGTCGCCGAGCAACAGAGCTGTAGTTGGACACAAGGTTTTATTGGCTCTTGGTTTTTAACACGTGAAGCGTTGCTGCTGTTTGTTTGATGGAAGCCTGAAGTTTAAACATTGTAGATATTAAGTATATGTTCTGAGAGGGCTCCACCTGTTGGAGCCTTCGACTCGTCGAGTGGCTGTGACGGAATTGATTGTTAAACACTCGAGGATGCAGAGCCTGAACTGAACAGTGGATGTTTGAAATTATAAAATCAACATTTTAAATAATTAACTATTAAATATTCATGATCTCTACATCAACAGAGATCAACGCCATCTTGTTTCCTGCCTCTCTGGTGATAAAGATTTAGTTTTCAATCATTAAACCTGATTTAAACGTCTGTTGGGACCCTCCTCCTCCCCCTCCTCATTGGACAAAGCTGCTGACGTTGGCTCCTTGTGAGGCGGAGTCTGTCCACGGTCAAGTCTTATTGGACGAGCCGGCTCAACATATGGCTCGGGAGAACTGGGACGTTCCTCCTCTTCTTTTTTTTCTTCTTCAAACGTCTGATTGTTTCTACGGGAAGTGACAAATTCAAATTTACAATTAAACAATTTAAGTCATGTTTGAAAACATTCAGCTCTCAACAATCAATCACAGTTTATTTGTCTCACACTCAGTTTGTCTCAAATTCAGTTTGTCTCATCGATGTCAACAAGCAGCAACGTCCTCTGTCCTCAACTCAACAAGAGTCAAACTACAGAGACACTTTCTGAGCAGTAACTGAAGCTCAGAGTCTCATGTGAGGATCCGTCTCCAGGACACGAGGACAATAGATGCTGATGAACTGAAGACATCAACACATCAACAGATTCTCTACATTAGAAGAAACAGTGTGTGACTTCAGGTTTAAAGTATTTGTACATGAGGACATGTCTGATAGAGATGAAGGAGCAGCTTGAGTGTCTCTTTCAAACATCAGGACGTTGGACGACAAAGGAACTCAAGAGATAAAACATGAGTCAACAAGAAGCACTCAGATACAGATCAGATCACACAGAGCAGGAGATTCATCTTTTAATGCTGACGTGGAAATACCTGGGAGTGTGTTCTCCTGCCCCCACAGCCACCACCTTGTAGATGAAGTGCCCCGGCAGCAGAGAGAAGAAGTCTCCGTCCTGAAGAGGGAACCAGGAACCTTTTCTCAGAGGTCGAGGGTCGTCAGTGAGGGACGACTGAATGAAGCACGGGTTCAGGTGCGTCTAAAGATGGAAACAGAAAGAGGGTTCTCACCTTTTATCCACACTGAAACTACTGTTCAAAATGTTTTATTCTGTTTGTTCAATGACACCATCAAACCTTAAAGACCTCATCGTACCATATCACCACGAGAGCCCTGAGCTCCCAGAATTCAATCTGTTATCCCTGAAGTCTCTAAAAGTAGAGGAGGAGCCAGAGCTCTCAGCATCCGGCTCCTCTCCTGTGGAATCATCTCAGGTTGATTTCAGGAGGCAGACTCCCGCTCTACGTTAAAGAGTCGGCTTTAAACCTTCCTTTATGATGAAGTCAGGGTTAGAGCTGCAGATCAGCTCTGAGTTCTGCTGCTGTAGCTTGTGGAGGAGCTCAGGAGGACAGAGGAGGACAGAGAAGCTCCATGTGTCATACATGGAGCTTCTCTGTCCTTCATGTCTCATCAACACATGTTACTGACTTGACTTGTATCGTGCTGGCATCTGATCGTAGCGGTGGACCATGATTAAGGTGGCAGCTGATGGTGGGTCCACATGGTGGACGATGATCACAGACTGATCAACAACATGTCTCCTCAGAGACTTCCTGACAGTAACTCCTCTCTTCATTCACCTTCCATCAAGCTTCTAACTGTTTCCTCTAACCAGTGCTGGAGCTACTCTTCTGTGTCTGACCTTCTCAGTTACACGTGGCGTCTACTGCACCTGTGTCCGTCCTGGGAGACGGGTCCTCACGTGTCTCTGAGGTCTCTACGTTCTTTTCCCTGTTGAAAGTTTTTTAGTAGTTTTACTCTTGTTGAGTTAAGAACCGATGAGGTCACAGCTCGTTAACCCTATGAGTCAAACTGTGATTTGTGAATATGAGCTGTACAAATAACATTTGATTGATTCAATGATATGAAGCAAATCACGTTGTTTAACTTGTGACCAGTGTTTTGGAAAGATGACGAGGAATCAAACATGTGACGTCTGTTTAAAACTTAATACACTGGTCAGGAGCACGCACTGTAGATAAATGACGGCTCCTCTAAAGTGAAGCCAAATCATCTGGATCGCCCCCTGGTGTCCAGCTGCAGTATAGCTCATAAACCTCCATGTTAGCAGATGGGACATGGACCAAAGTAAAACGTAGTAGTAGAAAGTAGACGTTAAATAAATGTTTGTCAAAGATGGTTTCTGTCATTTTACGTAGCTCTTATCACACCCCCGACATTCGGCTCGAAACGAGGTCATTGACACGTTTGAAGCCTAAACGTCTCTGATATTGTCCTACAATATCGGTCTCTTTAAGATCTATAATTTAAAATGTATTAGTTGGAGAATGTGACAAACAGCAGCAGCTCTTTGGTTCTGATACATGAGCGTCTTGTTAATTAAATCAAACGTTTAATTCATGAACAAAAACAGACGAGGACGGAAATAAAAGAGAAACTCTGGGAACCTGAAGTGATTCATGAACCTGGAGCAGCTCTCAATGAAGAGTGTGAATCATAAGTCCTATAAATAGACACCAGGGGGCGATCTAGACAATTTAGCTTCACTTCAGGGAGCCGTCGGTCACTCATCACAAGGTCGGGGGTTTGATCCCTGACTCCACATGTCCACGTACACTTAAAATACTGAATCACCCTGATGGTCCGTCAGTGTGTGAATGAACGAGCGATGGACGGTTTCTTTAAAAGAAAGAGGAACTCACAGGTTTGACGTGCAGCTGTCCACTCAGGTTCTGCAGCAGCCCGTGATGTCTGGACACTCTCTTGTCACTGACCTGAGACAAAGCAGGAGACGATTGTTTGAGGGAGACAAACAAAAGATCAGGAAGTTGACGATTACAGTTGATATTCATGATCACTGGTGTTCAATGTCCTGTGGGAAAAATATAAACATGAAATATTCACATTTTAAAACGTTTACTCAAATTTAATTGAAGCTATTCTTTTTGCTATTTCATTAGTTTCAATTAGTTTTCTGTCAACTGACGAATCAAACGACTTTGTTTTGTTGAAGCTCCATGAGCTGAAGACCTGAGGTGTTCCTCACATGTTGCTCACATGTTGCTCACATGTTCTGTATGTGAGAACAAATGTCTGAGTCAGTGTCTCTGGACATGTAGTCAAACATCTGGAACCTTCTCACTGAGCGAGTGGGCGTGTCTCTGAAGAACACAAAAATGTCTCCTGCTGCTTCTTCACGTGAAACACAAAGTACAGAACATGTGCAGACAACATTGTACACAGCTCATGTGTGGAAACAGTTTGAGTCCTCGTGTCCTCAGATGATTGAAACATGTAGCTGCACCCCTCGGTGTCTCTAAACATCCTACATGTCCTCTTCGTGTGTCCTACATGTGAGCGTGGACATGTGGACAGTCATAACAATGATTATAATGGAGACCACCTGTGGTCTGAACGTTCCTCACATGTCAGACTTCTCTGACGTCACAGTAGTAAACACAGCCAGGGGACTCACCCCCAGTAAGGGGCCCCTGCCCAGCACCGTCTCCCCCGGCGGCAGGTGGACCGGGGCCCCGCCGTCCACCGGGACCAGGTCGAAGCCGGACATGTGGGCGGGAGGAGGCAGCTTCAGCCCGGGTCACTGGAGCTCCGGTTCTCCGGTGCTCCGGAGCTCCGGTTCTCCGGTTCTCCGGTGCTCCGGAGGCGCGGGTTAGAAAACACACAACCACACTGAGACTGTGAACACGTGCACAGGACGGTTCAGCTGACGTCACACCGGGAGCGTCACCTGAGTTCGCCTGAAGAGAAAACCCGCGAAAGCAGATGTAAACAAACAAACTTCAGACTGGCAGCACCAACACTTCCGGGACGCAGCAGCGCATGCGCACTAGAGTAGAAAGCACGTGTGGCGCTGTCCTGTAGATTCACATCCGCAGATTCACCAAAGTCCTCCGGAATCACTTCCTGTTCAAATGTCTCCTTTTAATGTTTAGGAAATATTTGTTTCTATAAGTGAAACTCAGCAGAGTTTTATTTAT